TCCAGTAAGTATACTGGAAATTTGTAAAGCAAGACATTAAGCAATCAAATACCTTGATGTGGCCAAACAGTGACAGAAGTAGTATATGCTAATTCCTGTTTTCTGAAAGTAACAGCAAATTCAAAGAGCAGAGTCAACAAAACCCTGAAATCTTAAATTCATGACTGACTCAAGAGCACAAATTTTCCTTACGTTCCTAAAGGCTCATCTTGAAAGACAAAATATGTAAACAAAAAAGTCTGCAAGCATCTAAAGATAGAAGACTTGTGCCACTTAGAATATCTGAACACTTTAAATATTCTGGGCAGTTTTGTTTCTATATTAATGTATTCCCTAGTTTTTAACATAATGAACTACGTATGATTTAAATGGAGATTAATTCTTCCATTTAAAATGCTTTAAAATAATTCTGCGTATGATCTTGAAATCGCAGCCCCGTTCTGCATAGTGCTGCTTTTCCAATTTTCCTTGAGCTACATAAATGAAACTGACAGATCACTGCTCAGATAGCAGCCACATTCTTCCCCCAAAATGTTGCCTTTTTGCTATTCAGGAGTATCCTAATACCAACAAATGCTAAATTAAGTCTGACATGTACCCCTAAGAAACAAACTTGTAAGTTGTGGCTTCAAAGAAAACCTTGAATAAATAGGACACATTGTGTACACCCAGGCTAACATCCAACATATGCTTTAGTTTCCTGATGCTGAGACAGAGCAAGAATAGCCTCTGGTAAAGTCTGATTTGCTATTGCTGGTACTTCCAACATTTATAATGCACCATCTTTTTTTTTGCCTGTAAAAACAATTTAAAAAATGTAATTAAGATGACCACAGCAATGTTTCAGAACACAAAATTTCCATGAATAATGGATCATTTGACATGCCAGTAGTTTGATCAACAATTACGAAACAAAACAAAGAGCATTTCTGATCTTTCCCTTGCAAAAGAACACTGCAACCAATATGTATATTGCTGGACAGGTGGTTTTATCCAGTTGAAAAGTAACCTACATAATGAGCATTTTAAATTCTTCCCTTTGGTGGTGGTGGCAGCAATCAACATGCCCAACAGTGAGGTTCTGCTAGTAGATGTTATTTAGAACTACAGAAAAATACAAGTATGAGAGAGACAGGAATAGGGAAAACCAAGAAAATAAGATAAAGCTGCATTTATACAACAGCTAGGACACTGTTCTTGATAGACTAGTTTATCTACTCATTACTTGGCAAAGATAGGGAAAGGAATGGACAGAGAATGATGACCTATTCCAAGATTCAAACATTCTGATTTTTTTTTTTTTGCCATTACTTAATGCTCTAGTTTATGACTATTTCTGGTAAAAGAACTAAAAGGAGTGTAATTCAACCTCATCTTCCCCTTCTCCACTTTAAGTTCAAATCCTACTCCCTTTGTCCTCCATTGCTTTGGATTTAGAAGTATGAAAGTATAGTGTTCAAATTCAAATCAGAATTTAAATTTACAATTTAATGTGCTTGCTGACACATGACTTAAAGCAGACCCACTGTTAACAGAACACAGGTTAATTGTTCAAGATAAATCAGTTAACATGTTATATTCCAATGTGAGTCCATTTACACTGCAGACCATAGGCTGACCTATGGAGGAAATAATATGGTGCACGTCTGTATACAAAATGTCATCCTGGAATGCGGCACGTTATAAATGTATACAACATCATAATCAGAAAGTTTTTATTTGGGACAACAGATAGCCTCACAGCTGCAGCACAAACTCAGAAGTGTGATACCTCAGCCTTTTGGAAGCTTCTTCTACACAATGAGGTTTTAAGGAGCTACACATTTTGTTGTGTTTTTGAACTGCAAAGCTGTAATTCTCTAAATTCTAGAGAAAAAAATCTATAAAGTAATAAGACTCTGGGCAACTACAGATAAAAGCAAAATAAGGTCAGTTATGCTAGTATAAACAAGTAGTTTCCACTGGCAGAAAAACTTGAAGTCTGCTTTTAAGATCTCTCACCACATTACTCTGAAAGTCTTGCTAGCATTGCAGCTGTTCCACTGAAGGGAAATTAAGAGCCTGTCTGATACCTGTCTTTATTGAACTTGCACGAATAAACAGTGATTACACAATACGCATGCTTCATGCTAAAATGCCCTTCACTATTTGCACATTTCCAGTTCTCCCCCTTTTTTCTTCTCCTTCTATTTCATACTTTGTTTTACATACGCAGAATGTGAGTTTGTTTCCTATTGCTTGGGAATGCAAGAAAACCAGAGACATCTCGGCCTGAATGACTTTTGCATTGTATTGCTGCACAGATGTTTTCCACTAAAAGACCACATGGTATCTTAGTGATGAATTTTTAGATTTATTGCAACACTGTTTCAAACAATTATTCATCCAACAAACTTGAAGATCAACTTTAAGGTTATCTTGTAAATGCATATCCTTAGAATGCTGAAGTAGTAAATACCTGTGATATATCCAAACCATCTATTTAATCAGAAAAAAAAAACTTCAATAGATTATAGATTGCCAAGTTCTAATGCTCTTATGAGAAGTGTAATTACAGTTAAGAGAACCACTTCATTGTTCTTACATACTCCTGGGATCCCTTAACAGTCTAAGGGAAGGAATAGCTTATGATAATGAAAAACTCAATCTGAATTACTTCTATGTGACAGCAGCTCTTCTTACAGTACACAAAAGTTTTCATTTCTTCAGTTTGGCACAGCTGAAGCACCACATAACCCCAGATGAGGTTATTTAAAAACCAAGATTTGTTATTTTCCTCTGTCTTAAAGATAGAGAAGATTATTTTTACTTCATACTAAAGAATGCAAGTCCATCCTTTTAGTCTCACCTACTCCCAAATAAGAACCTATACAAGCATCCAGGTCTGTTTTTACTCCACTGGGCTCTGTACGAGACAGCTTACCATTACCAACACGCATGTTTGTCAGAAGCCACACAAATACTACCCAAGTCCAGTGTGTTTCAAGAATCCCTCCTACTTCTTCCTAGTACAAAAGCCCTTATTGATAAACTGATGAATAGTATAAGTGTATTGCTAAAAAGGGAAAAATACTACCTTTAAAATCAATTGTGTGAAGACCCTTCTGGCTTCTAAAAGGTCAAAAACCACACATGCAGGTAAAAGCTAAGATCTGTTCCACTACTGAAGTCAGTGTTTTAAGCTACTTATTCTTTGGAGGAATTTGCGTCTTTTTTGCCCTACTATCCTCAACACATTTGACTTTTTGATATTTTGATATTATCAAGGAAGTTTTACCAATTTTATTTATTTATTTATTTTTTGAAAGTAAGTGGAAGAGAACTGGAGAAGGGGGAATAGAAATCCAACGCCAATGAAAACACACTACAGAACAGCATACAAGCCTGATGCAAAATACTGCACCTGCCAGAAATGTTAATATAATGAAAAGCATCAAGAAAGTTACAACAGTATGCCCTGGTACTCCAACTTGAGTAGCGCTATTCATCATTTTGTTTTTCCTCTACAAAATTCAGCATTTAAGAATACTGATGTTCTGACAGTTCGGGGATAAAACTCGCATAACACTACAATGTACTGAGATACTGCAATATGGATAATGCTCAAGACAGCTGTGCATAAACAGACAAACTAATATCCTAGACAAGCAAAATTTCTAGGTAGCTATTTGTCAAGGAAGCCAACTAATCCCTTACCAATTTTGTTTACAGACCGTCTTGTATATCTGTAGATTCTGAAGGGGCAGAGATGGGGTTAAGGTATTCTCTTTAAAGAAGATCCACCAAAGCACCTGTTGCTACAAAACTTTCCTACAGACGTACCACCAGAGACCTGTCTCACAGAACAAGACAAAAAGGCTCATCTGTTCTTGCATTACAAACATGAATCACAATCCTTCAAAATGTGGGGATGTGAGTAAGTGTGAACACTTCCGAACATGAAAACTGCTGTTTCAAGACAACCACAGTAGTAAGTTCTATTAAATCACTATTCTGTTCTCAGTGAACATTGTAAGACTTGCAGAAAGCATTTATGTTCTCTCTCAAGACACTAATTTTGTGTAAATACTACACACATACCTTAATCTATTATATCAGATAGTCTTAACTCAAGCTGGAAGCATTTTTCCTCTCCTGATTTTATGATCTTTTCACTTGAAGGGGTTGCTATAGGACTCAAATAGTTTCTGTTCAAGTCTCTGATTAGAACTACAATGAAAGGTCTCTTTGCAGACCAGAGAGATGTATTGCCAGTACAAAAAAAAAAATAATTCATCCAGACCTCATCCAACCCTGTGTAAGAACCACAACTAGGAGCCAGATCATCTAAATCTGGTTTTAAATTATTTTCAAACCAGAAGTACACAACAGTAAACCATTTGGCATTATTGGAATGACCACACTTGCCTGACAGACAATTACTCAGAGTAAGTGTTCTGTCTGAGAAGAGCTCAACCCCAAACACTTGCAAGTAGTGTTCTACATAGTATGCTTTATACTAGGGTCATAACTATTTAGAACAAGGCAAAGCCCAAAGTAAACACAGGATTCTGAAACCTAATGATATATAACTATTAACTGACTAAGAATAGTTTTTACAGTACAGTCATGAGGATATTTGATTCTTCAGCCTGTTTTGTCTAAGAAGTTAAGTACCACATGCGTAGAAGATTTGCAGCAGAAAAAACCTTGCCTCTCCAATGCAGCAAAGTCACACACAGCTGGACAGTTGTAGGGAATCACTAGAACACGGAGGCTTTCACATATCACTGTACCCACCAGCCAAGAAAACAGATATATTCTCTTGTACATTCCATAAGTTACAGCAGTGAGCAATGTACATGCCCATTTGACAGACAAAAATTCAGATGCAAAACGAATGCTTTGAGCTGTTGAATTTCCCTTTGCAGAATCAGTGTAGCTGCATAGGTGTGTTGTTCCCCCCACCCCAACCCCAACACAGCACAAAGTAATAATGAAAGCACTGGAAGGGAACGTACCGTCATAGTAGACAATAGCTCCAACAAGCTTATCTTTGCGTAGCATTGGGAAGAGCTCCAAGGCCCTTGACTTGCTAAGGACATAACTGCTTTTCAGACACTGACTTCCTGCCACGATGTCATACAGTTTTATTCCAACCCAGTAGTATGGCAATTGCCACCACCTGCAGGGGAAAAAGTTCCAATGAAGTGAAATAAGAAATGCATGCATGCACGTTCTAATATAGAGCACACTGAGTAACACAGTACGCTATAATACAAAAGCAAAACGAGTGTAATATCACACAACTTTACAATATCAAGATATAGTGTAAATACACAAAAAGTTATGACGTATTGTTCACTTCTATTTTCAACTAATCTGCTCACTACAGGAAGTCAAGTACATTCAAGGCTGTATTCATTCTAGAATTAAGACCATGAATTGTTTTTCTACTTCAGTGTAAAATGAAAAAATAAAGCTGTCTTGAAGGAAGAACCAAACTTTCGGCAAAAGATGAAAGAGTTCCTGAAATGCACATCTCACTTAAACCTCCCCATAGACAAGATCAACTAAATACAGTCCACTGCAGACCTACATGAGCTCCTACTATTACAAGCCCCCTAAGACAGGAATAAGGCCATACATTAAGGTTAATCAAAAATTACGATTAATCAAAAACTCACCTTTATAAGCAGCCTGTTCTACTGAATAGCTGTCCTTACAGATACAAAAACACCTAACACAGATCACTTAGTGTCTCTCATAAGACAAAATTGTTCTCTTAACAAGAAGTAGCCACATACAGCAGAAGGCCAGCGTGCTGGCTTACTGCACTGACACTGGTGGTTGTTAGGACTACACAGTACCTTGTGAAGAAAACTGTGCGATAGCATGCATTGAAGGCAAGGATGTACTGGAAAGAACGGTAAGTAATATCTTGGGAATTATGAGTTCACTCCAGCTGTGAACTCCTCTCCTTCACACCTATTGTAACAGTAAAAATGCACCACAGAGCTCAAGTCCAAGCAGTGCTACTGGCAGCAGTGATAGCAGATTGGTGCCATAAGAGAATTTCCTCTACTGCAATACGGCAACACCTCACCTCCTGGAGGACAAAGTTTGTGACAGGTTTAAAGACATGCTTGGAAGGAGACATACGGAAACTTCTCTAGGGGAATACCTTGCTTGTCAAAAGAAATGGTAAAGGAGAAGTACAATAGCAGAACTTACTTGTAAACAGGTAGCATTATAGGCAAAGGAGCTGATAGGTGAGGAGCAATTTCAAGCAGATTTGCACGCTCCTGAAGTGCTTCTTTCACCATCCTGTACTGTAAAAAGAGTGTATAGGTGAATTTTAAGTTACCCAGTTTTGTGTCAACATGCAACATGTAATGAAAAACTGCTTACCAATGCAAATATCTAAATTTTTACAGTTCTTTCAGGAACACGCTCCCATTTGCTGAAAATTTCAAAAATTAAGAAAAATATTTTCCAAGCAAGTTGAGTACATTCATTCTGGTATCTTGGCACATCAGCTGAACAATTTTTCAGTTGAGCACAAAGGCCAATAAGCTATGTTACTGCTAACTATAAGCAGGAAGCCATTAAGGAGGTTTAGGAAACATCCCAAGGTATTGCTTCTATGCCGATTCCCACGATTTAATCCTGTACTAACTCTGAGTTGCAAATGCAGAAGTGTTCCTCTCCAAATCAATGAGTATCAATCAATATAAAGTTGCTCTTTGGGAGAAAAAGGAATACTGATTTCTATAGCCAGATAACTGTATGCTTTTTTTTTTTACCCCAATTAGTCACCTTTTCTATCTAATGACCATTATAATGACCATATTATGACCATTAAAACATATTTTAAGTTAGAGAGGTTTCAGTAAAACAACAAATTCATTTCTCAAAACAAGAACATCATGCTTCCACCAGACTAAGACAACACAAAAATACATATACATTAACATATAATTGCTTATTTACTGTATTTTCTTTATCCATTCTAAAAATCAATCAAGACAATTCCCCTCTCCTCTACCACCCCAAATTCTTGTCTGGACAAGTAAACTCTTTTTATTCTCCAGCCAACCCTGTTTCTGCCCTCCCTCCCCAATATATACACACAGACTAAAAGGTACAGCTATTTGATTGCCTACAAGTTAATTTATGCAGAGATGGCTGCACCAGTTTCCCTATTCTGGAAAGTTCAACTGGAGAATACATTTTCCTGTTTTGTACTGCACAGCCACTGTACTCAGTCAAGTATTAAAAAATAAAGAGGAGAAGTTGGATATAATTGGGATAAGGGAAGTGTCTACTAGCAATTTTTGCTTAACAACCAGCATAAACAATTACCTGCTCAAAATCCAACTTCATGATGGCCTTCTGAAGATATCTCACTCCACCATGGATCAATTTAGTACTCCTGCTGCTGGTCCCTGATGAGAAATCATCTCTTTCTAGAAGGGCTGTTTTTAGTCCTGTGTTACCAGAAAACCAAATTAACTTCTTAAATTACACAATTTGTATGTAATTCATTAAAGACACTTCTCTAGGGTAGAGACAATCACAAGAAAAATTACTCTGTACATGGATAAATTTGTATTCAAAGTGTAGTGCACTGTCTATATTGTAATGAAAAATTTTAGCCTTCTTCCTAAGGGAAAAGTCAAAACAGAACTTAAACAGAAGCACATTAAAACCTGGATATTTCACAATAGAAAGGCATTACAGTACATTATAGGGGCCATGCTCCCTCAAGCAAATTATAGTTTGTATTCATGGCAGGAACAGAATATTTTCATGAATACTCTTAACTCTTTGCAGCAGAGCGCTCTAAATCTATCACACTAATAATTTCAACAGCATCCCAGCCAGGCAAACAACCAGCATCTTTGTCTTCTTTCTTCAGGTTTGCTTAAGAGGTGCCCTGTGATGGGCTCTCCTGGCACTGATGTGCTCACGCTCAAGGAAGAGCCCACTGGATCAACACTTTGGAGTCATCCCCGCAGTACCACTGTGAATCCTGGCACAGCCATTATTTTGCTCAAGAAAGCTGTAACACCCCAAACCAACCACCCAAGCCTTAATGCTGTTCTACTGAAATAAGAGATTAAGGATTGGAGGAAGACTTGAAAGGAAAGGCATGGTGAACTTCACCAGCAGTGGCAGGGCTCCAATGCAACCTTATTTGTTTAAAAGACAAAAAAAGAGGGAGGTTTTCCTTAACATAGAAGATACGTATTAACTGAGCTAGGAACTGCAGGAAAGTGAAAAACTAAGTTTATCTGCAGCTTGCTGTGTACTTACGACGACAGTGCTCATACAACAGACATCCTCCTTTTACACATTATATAGGCAAAGGGCACATACACAAAATGTTAGTTACTAGACACTACAGAGCATTTCAGACACATACTCAAAATGCATGACACTGCCAGGTGCTGACAGTTTCATGAGCACAAAACAGGGGTAACCACATGGCTCAGAAACATTCATACGAGTCCAGAACACACAGTGCTTTACATGAACACTGAGCATTATAAGGCTTGTTCTGACAAACACTCAGAAGAGAGTTTGCATGTTTGTGTCCCCAGTAACACTGAAGGACTGGAAAAAAGGCTTTCTGTGGGTGAAGGCACGCTGCTTCATACAGCACTCACTATGACCCCACACACCCCTATAGTCTGCAGTACATCCTGCACATGAAGAAAGTGCTGATATCCTCGTTATGAAGGAGACTGGCATCAGGTTATTTGATGAAAGTTAAAAGAAAGATGAAAGATGTGTGATTAACAGGTGTTTTTTAACGATAAGATACAGGCAACAGCCTGTATCTGGCACACAGCTACAGGACAGCTATCACTGCCTCCCAGTACCCAGCGTTAAGTAAATGCAACTAAGAACAGCACTGCAGGACAAGAACATGGCAATCTTTCACTTACAAAACGTATATAAACATATGTAGAAGGACAATCTGTTGCAGAAATTAGCATAGCAGACCCCCTCTGGCACTGGAGGAATCTTACAAGGCAAAAGGAGATTCAGCGACACTGTTTCTGAAACCAACAGCAACATGACAGTGATGCCCAGGGAGGAGAGCACTGTCTGCATTAGAAGCTGTCCCTCGGGTCCCTCCTTCACCCTCTTTGAGGAGTGATTCCTATTTTCAGTTGCTGAAAGTAGATTTTAACATCTGTTGATCTCCCAAAACTTACATCCTTAAATTATTATTGGTAGCTTCCAAAGATCAGAGTAATTTATTTTTGTCAAATGTGACAAAGATTAATGGATATAATCAGAAATAATTTGGTGAAAATGCATCAAACACATGAAAAGCAAGATTTGTTGTTAAGTGAAGCAAACAGAATAAAAGAGCAAGTTCCATGAATGAACAGCAACAATACACAATTCATTAACCAAATGCCTAGGAATATTTCACACTTCAGAAGTCTACTGATATGACCAGAATATCTACTCAGAGTATAAATATAGGTTACCTATAATATTTTCTGTTTACATTTACAACTGCATTTTCCACCACAATGTAGCAAAGGCAGAAATTAAGATACCAAGTTACCTTTAATAATACATGAAAGGGTAATAAACTGATTTTGTATTCATCTCCCCATGATGCATACCTTACTGCTTAATCCATCTCAAAGCAATCACACCTTCTGGGCAAGTGTTTTCTAATTCAGACTCCACATGACACTCCTGGAGTCGGGTGTTGCCTCTTACTTCTGACGTGACTACATGTTAAGAACCCGAAGAATTTTACAACTATATACTACTTTTTGTACTGTGTTCTTTCCCCGCTTCAGTTCCAAGAACTGAAACAAGGTCAAAACACACAGACACTGAAGTAATGATTGATTTCCTTTCATTGGCCAATTCCACTAAAAGAAATGGATAGACAATGCGCTAAGATAAGCTTTCTCACTAGTCTTTACACAGCTTTTTGAATAAAAAGTACAATATAGCATTTTAACAGAACAGGAGTTGATGCTACGGCCTCTTTCGGAAACAGAACCTGTGCATTCTCACCTCCGTATCTACAGCTCTGTTTTCACTGAACTTGTAAAATCACCAATCATCTCTGAGAGCAGTCAAGTTTGACTAGGAGCTGCTGGCTACGGTTACCGTGCAAGGTGGATGACAGAGCAGGTGTTGGTGTCCTACATTTTCACCCCATAACCAGAACTCTGCACAGGACTGACAGGCTGTGGGAGCTGCCACACCATCCATCTATCAAACCATCTATCAGAGAACAGATGAATGCTACTACACATTCTCAGCCTCTTGCAGAAGTCAGGTGAAAAGCATGATCTTCAACTCATTTTACTTCAAGCTTTTCATAAGTTAAGGCTACATGTAAGGTTAAGATTCAATTCCTCCACTTTAAGTAGCTTCTTAAACCAGTTACAAAGCTAACCTCCCACAAGAGAAAAAAAATCAGAGCACAGATCTACTCTGTGCACCTGCAGACTGAATGATGCATCTTTAATTGAAAATCCAAACAGACTTCTCTAAATCCGCAATATAACAGCCAGCTATAAAGCAACAGAAGCTGTAGCTATCTCACGTTACAAGAAACGAGCTTGAAAGCCACTATGCCTCATCCAGAATTCATGCTTGCTCCTTTCAATGTGCTTGCTAGAAGTGCTGTGCAAGTGTTGTCTTCTCTTTGCTGCAGACACAAGTGTGACTACAGATAAACCTAAGTAAGAAGCAACAGAAGATGAGAAGTCCCTCCAGGAGTGGCCAGCAAAAAGGCTCATGTTAACATGAACTGCACATAAGCATCTAGACAGTGAAGACCGCTGAAACAAAAATAATGACTTTTTTTCTGTGAGTTGATTTCAACTTCTAAGATCAGAAGGAAGTTTTATAACCAGGCATTCAGGGGACATGTCCTCAACCTTCAAGTGATTTTGAGAAAGCCAATCTGATTAATTTATCATAAACCATGTAATCCAAGAACAATACGCAATTTATTGTCAAGTCTTACCCCTGGTGACGGCATCTAAAGCACAGCCACATCCTGTCGCTCCTCCACCTATAACAAGGACATCAAATTCACGTGTGGTTTTTAGTGCCAAAATCTGCTCTTCTCTCGTGGGAAAATCGTGCTTTATTGGAACAGTCACTGCTTCTGCAGCTTGGACATTCACAAAGGTACCCTACAACAATCGAAAACAAAACATAAGGATCTGTATTTATTGTGTATACAAAAATATACGCGTACATGCAACAAGTCACAGCACTTTTTATAAACGTAAAGGAAAACTCAAATATTCCAAGTCACCTAACCTACATATGATGACAATACTGTATTAAAACATTATGGAATGAATAGTATTAACAACAATGAGGGTTATCACACACTGAAGTAGATAAGATGAAGTAAATATAACGCTGTATTCAAGTGCTACTACTTATAACTAGGAACAGACATGTGAAACATTACAGGATGCACAAGAAATAGTTAAAATACACAGGTTCTCAACTTTTTGCCAATAAAATCCATCAAGCAATGGACTTAAAAATTAATATACATTTTAAAGTTGATTATTTGTACAATGGCATTAATCTAAGCTCAAGTTTGACCAAGTTCATAAGAGCACGTAGTTTTCTGTCAAATATAGTATACTAAAACACTGAAGAAGCCATTTCCATATTCTTTTGTAAAAATCTTCTAAGCAAAGCAAAACTATATCCTTCAGCATGCTAAAGTAAAACTTTTCTTTACAGCAACAAAGAGTTAGCAGCGTGGCAGTTTGCAAAGAAGTTCAGATTCTTCTGAAGTGGGTTGGGAATCTCTCCAGCACACCGCTGATTTCCCGCAGGCCACCCCTGCTCCCGGTTCAGTGACCCTGGTGAGAACAGCTGACATCCTTGCTTAGTCCACCAGCATGGGCTGTGGTTTAAATGCTCAGGTTTTAACTTGTTTCCAAAGGCTCTCTTCAGTTAATATAGATTTAAAATGAATTCTGGAAGCCTTTGCAGTCACTGAAAGTCAAACCTTATTACTGAGTACATATTTCATAAAGTATGAACCCACAGCAATGTCTCACGTAACAGCACAGTAATTGTATATACAACAGGCTATAGGCAGGCAGCAGTTATTCAAACAGTTAAATAGGATGCAAGATCCTAAGTCACATGTGCTTTCTCTTTGATTTCAGCTCCAGGTCTTCTCCTTACAACTTCTCCTCATTCACCATTGTCCCTCGTTCTGCACACAGCCAGGCTGTGACTTCCTCTCTTCACTATTTATTGAATACACAAAGGATCCATCTTTTCCACAGGAAAGTAAATTTGTGTGACAAAATACTACTTTCTTAATATTATCTAAAACAATCTACTATTCAAATAATCTCTTCCCATTCGCTACTTACAATCAGCATTAATTTGTCACTGGTAAAGAAGGAAGCTCCCTTATTTATTCAAGAAATGTTTGGAAGTCAAAACTTAAGCTGAATTGGATGACTCTCTCAGTCATAAAATGATTTTATTGCTTGTTGCACTGTTATCTGTGAATTACAGTTCCTACAGAAATTGCTCCTAAGCACTGTCCCACCATACCAACACCACCACATGCAGCTTGCCCTGCCTTCGTGTTTCGATCACGGCTCAGCTGATCTGCTGAGCTCCCCTGTAGTTCTGGAGAGCTACCTGCTCGTACAAGCCACCTTCAGGTTTTAATAGCTCCGAGCACTTCCCCTGGCATTTGCCATGGGAAGGGAATATCCACCTGCCATGGTGAAACAGCTTGACTGACAAAAGGTAACTCAGCCGCTTGCAGCCATCTGTTCCTATCTGCAGCTGAGCGGCTTTCCAGAAGCTATCTGGCCAAGTGGTGCAGCTCCTCGTTAGCAGGCAGTTCGCTGGTTGTCACAGAGCTCTGCGAGCAGACCTGCTGAGTTAAGGGTAGGTGATTCTTGCAACACATCCACTCTAAGTTAACAGCCAGTTCAGCCGTGCACATGAAGCCTAAACTCAGGTTCAGTTATGATTGAAGAGTATTTCTCAGCGTCCCTATAAACTCAGTGCTACTGTACAACAGGAAAATAAAGACTATATGTAGCAGTCATGCCTAAAGGAAGTGCATACTCAAGAGAAAATTAATGCTCACGTTCATCCTGTAATCATGTGTTACATTGACTACAATGCAAACAGCTCATGCAAATCAGGGCAGCCACAACTACTTCCACCCTGCGTGTTACAGCTCAACGAGGAAAACTGGGCTAGACAAAGAGTGCTTAACTTTATTTCAGGGAAGATATGTTTCCTTACTATAATAAAAGGGTGAGATTTAAAACAAGCAAGCAGAAGGAGGTGGATCCTGATCAGCCTCCCCATGGTATCACCTCCTCACTCCTGCACATCTACACCCATGGCAGCTGGCAGAAACCACCCAACGGGGTACAAAGCCTTGGGGCTACACAGAAGCACCCCAGCACCTCTCTTTGCTCCCTCCTCCTTGGGCTTCCCATCCCGAAGCAGCATGAGGGACGCAGGAGATGTTTTCCCCGTGTACAGCTGGTACCTGCACCACTGCAGCCTTCCTGCCTGCATCAGCAGGGTAACAGCCAGCACTGCTGTTCGGCCTCCTCCGCTGTCCATGGCTCTCCTCAGCAAGCTGTTGCATTAAGCACACTTTTTAGAGCTGTGTAACTGCAGGGAACATACACAGGCCACTGATACCAGCTTCCTACTTTCCCTAAATATCACCCTGCGACTAACAGATAATAGTGCTGAGAAGGAAGCTCAAGACAGATGCACCCGTGGCTTATTTCTGCATGCATTTTGGCTGATCAAGTTCAGCTACATATGTTCCACTTTATAAGCTTTAGAAGAAAATTGAAAATCCCCAGCTCAAGATGAAGTTTTGCACTAGATGTCCAGATGTGCCTTCTTCAGCAAAATAGGTGACTATTTTCAAAGTATTTACCTTAACTTCAGGAAAATAGAAGAATACATGAAAAAAAATCAGAGTCCAAGAAGTGCTGTTGTCATTAAAAAACAACAAAAATAGTTAAAGTAAACACATTATCTACACTCAACATAGTAAAAGACAGACCAGAGTCCCAAGCAAATAGCCACTGGTACAGCAAGAGCATAGAAATCAGCACACCAGAAACTGAAATATAAGCAAAGTGATTAGCACACTAGGAATTGATAGAGATATGATTCATCTTGCTGTCAATTAAATGTGAGACTGAAGAAAAGCTGCATACAGGGATTCCATCTGCAATAACGTGATTAGTTTGGCAGTGAACAAGTATGTTTACTGAAATAAGCAATTGCTGTTTATATCTACAATTTCTCAGGCAAGAGTTCCTTGAATGGTTTTGATTACACTCTTAGCGAGAAGAAATGTAGTTTGGCAGTTTGAATTCAATCAAGAAGTTATAAAGTGATCTAGTAATCCATAAGCAAGCATTCTTGTTAATTTGGCTAATGCAAATCACCAGGTAGGTTCACAGAGCCAAATTCATCATCCATATTCATTAAAGAGAAAATGGAAGTAATTAAAAACCCAAAAGCAAGCCCTGATGCATTATCATATTATCGCTCCCTGCACTGGATTCCCCATGACAAGCAATTCCTGACCGCCCAACAATGCACCTGCACACCGGGAGGAGAGAAGGATTACTGAGTGGGCTTCGCTAGGGGGACAGCGCTCACAACTCCAGAGCAAAGCAGTGCTTTTCCTCAGTGACTACAGAAAGGACCATTAACCCCTGAAGGAAAGCAAGCACACTGAACTAAATAATACCCACATCACACCCAGTACTAGCCCGCTTGGCTCAATAAAGGCACACAAAGCACGAACACGGCAGTGTTGTCAGCATCTACAAGAATGCATCACCCTTGCCAATCCTACCTTTCAGCTATCTGAAACTGGAGGCCAACACAATTATGTACACAGCCTGCGTGTTTCAAGTCTCATGTAGGAGTCCAACTTCACCTTAGGTGATGTGATTCTTTTCAGGAGCTCCTGATCATTAGGGAATGCACTGTACACAAGTTGGAGAGCTGTCTGCATTGTTTAAGATAAATTTCATTTACAGTGGTAGCACTGAAAGAAATTTAAAAGTCTACACACATTTTGCCTTATGTGAAAATCATTCAGGAGGGACTAGTTTCTTCAGACCTCTGCACTACCATCTGCAGGGATTTCCCCAGCTGTTTCCCTTTCTCTGGAAAGGGATTATTATTTTTTTTTAATCTAAACCAAAAGCCTCCCTGTCAGACCTAGGCATTTGCCCTCAACATCTCAAGCCACCAAGACTGCGCAGAACACTCAACCACCTTCCTTAAGGCTAATAGTTACTCAATAGGAAAGAACACCTCCCGTGTGTTTACTGAAAGAGATTTTGCTTGAATTAGTGTCATTCCTACTTATTCCCTTACAGCACAGCATTAAACTAAGCCAGCTGATTAATTCAGTAAATACCCCAGCGATCAGGTTACCATTCAAGACACAGAAGTGCAATATTCATCTATCAGCTTAGGAGTTAAATTCAACAACAGTTCTGTCATGTCAACACGTTCCCATCCTCCTCCTGCTCAGCAGGAGCTGTGTGTTGTCAAAAAACAACACACAATACGAGGAGTTGACTGAACCGCTTGTATGCCTGCATATGCCATCCATAATCAGCGGATGTATATCTATATTGCCTCAGTTGCTGTTGCAGAAACATTCTCCCAAATGTCAGCATTTTTATCTGTGTGTGTATAGAAAAATAAGTTGGGATAAACAACATGAAAACCAGGACAGATCTGAGTCAGTGGTGGGTTTTATTTCTGAGGGTAAGGTGTAAACACCCTACAGTTGTTGATATACAGGCAAGGTTAACTGTGCTAACTGTGACATCTTCCTCACAGTCCAGCTTCAAACCTTAAACCTAGAGGGAACATCTGAAATTGCCAATACTCACCCCTTTCAGTAGACAAACACCCACTGATATGCTTGACTAACAGATCCAAGGGAACTCCCAGCCTTTCTCGAGGGCCAGAAGCTTGTAACCCATTACCTTTTTCCCTTGGAATTACCTGGGACAGCTGAGTTAACAAACACCTAATATTAGCTGAGTGAACATGGAAAACAAAGAAAAATAAGTCAGCTACGTTGTGTGTACAGAATTATTAAACAGGGTCTTTTTTCTGTCAGTGGGTGCCCCTAATTCTGGGGTGCTAGCCACTACACAGGCACCCAGACGCAGCGGGTGAGGCAGTACTTACAGACATGGGGAAAGATGGAGCATGCCACTGCTCTTGCATTTTATTTTTATCTTATGTGATGGATTCTGTTCATGAAACAACAGACTTCCCACAATGTGTAGCCAATTAGTGCACACCTTGGGGCAATATCCCTCCCTGGCACAGGAAGGGAAGATCTTTGCCCTAGCATATATTTGATTGGCAGGCATTATTAAAGAGAGGACACTTGGGCTGGGGGACATGCCCACAGCTTAGATATGTCAACACTACAAATGGACTGTCCTCCTTTGTGTCAATCCCTCCAGTTATGTTCCACCTGCTGCCCTATATTAGGTGTTTAAGGCAGCAGCTTTAAGGGACATCACGTGGGAAATGTGCAAGTTAGTACAACATGAAAACAACATGCTGTTCACTTGACAGATCCATTTGCTTACACATATGCTGGAAATTTTTCAGATCCTCTGTAGACAGACACTACACAATAGGTTCAGGAATCAAGGAACAAGTGGATATTTCATTCTGACACCATGATCACCTTCTGTAAAGCTTTGCTTTTATAACTGCCTTTAAAAATTTGTAACAATCATCCAATAACAACAAAACTGCAAACTCTGAATCCTGTAACATTGCATATATGACAAATTAGCTATCCAGATCAGTCTTGCCTTCCAACTTTGCTTATTTAACAGTCCTAAGATTTGAAGCTGCAGTTTCTGACAGTAATGAAGCCAGAGTGTAAAATCCTGTGATAAAGACTCCAGAGAGAGTCAGAAATGGCATTAGCAGCTAGGCGCAAGACAGGCAGTCCAATGGGAAGCTCACTTAAAAAGCTAGGATTTATTTTCTGCAACAGTATCTGAAGCTATAAGGATCCTGGCTTATCCACTTTCCAGCTAGGTTCCCCAGGAATGACTCATCTCATTTGCTTTACCATTATCTCAGCTGCTATTCCTCCTCCACACAGAAACAGCCAGAAGTTTCAGATTATCATCTATTCGGACCAGAAATGCACACCTTCATCGAGCTAAGTGCAGACTGCCTACCGTCACTCGCTGCTTTACCCCGAATTAGACCACTGAGATCACTTGCATTCCTGGCTGTCGGTTTTCCCATTTTGAATGGGAACCTACAGGAAGCGTGTAGCAGCTGGGCAGCTCAGGGTAACGGCCTGCCATTGATAAAGGGCTGACCAGATCCATTTCTACGGTGAGAAGCAGAAAGCTCCATGCAGAATGTGCACCTGCTCACTTAGCTGCTGAAACTGATATGGTCTGAAAGGGAGGAGAAGGTACCCCCCCCACTCCCCTCAGGGCTCAGGCTTCTTCCAAACCCAGATGGACAGGCCAGAGCCCTGACTGCACCTCCTTCAAACCGTATGGAGCACGGATTGCAAGTATTGTCAGCCAGGGGTGAGGTACCAGCCTCAAAGCTTACGCTTAACAGCGGATAAGACGTGTCTCTTTATATGCATCTACTGACCCTGGAAAACAGTTATGAAATAACTCTAAAGCACAGCACAACTGCGTTAAAAATAAGAGCTTTATTTGCTTAAAAATAGTAGCTGATCAACACCAGCTCTGCTTAAAACAATCCACAACTTTGCTTTTACTGATTTCTTTTACTGATTTTTTTCCTTGGCTTCTGCATAGAGAAGTAGGGGAAAAAAAACATAGCTGCTCCAATTTGGCTGGAAGAAGTAGTTATGACAGTGAATCTATTTTCTACTACAGAAAGAATCAAATCCACAAACTGGATTGAAATCTACTGCATCTTTCAGCTACCACTATTTTACTTTAACAGTATGTTTTCAACATCAGCCTTTACTGCTCTGGAATTTTTATCTCATCAGCACGCCTTAATTACCTGAAATACAGCGCTGAACTGTGTCATGAACATACCAGCATCTAGGTTGTGCCCACCCAGACACCAATCACCACAAGAAACGGGAGCCTTGCAACTGACTTCTTTGGCACAGAGCCCATCCTGACACAGTTTTCAGTCTTCTGAACTGGCCAAGAGCTGCCACAATCACTGTCCTAAAGCTGAGATTTTTCAGAGGTAATCCTGGAGGTGACACTTCAAGCTGCCACGTTTGAAAACACCTTCCAAACTATTTACTACTTAAACTTCAATCAATACTTTTCACTCCTGCAACTAAGTGAAACCCCTAGTAGTGTCCAAAGAACATTTTTTAAACATGAGAAGTGATTTACAAGAAAGACCTACAACAGCGAAACATCATTTAATGCCATCCTCCAGATAGCACCCAGCAGATCAAGCTGAGAAGCTCTTGGCATTCCTTTCCAAAGGAAACTATTCGTATAAGCCTAACATACGCTCAAACAGATTTTAAGTTTCATATTTTATCAGAAGTCATAATTAATACTTACGTGTTTGTTTCTATACTGAGAAAATTGAGAGAGGCCAAAAACTGTTGCTATGGCACCTCCTCCAATGAGAACAGTTCCTTTCACTGCCTTCTGAAATGCCATTTTTTACTGTAAGAAAAGAAGATAAAAATTAATAGGCAGTTTTGCCATGTTAGAATCTAGGCTACACAGAATAGACCATTTGTAGAAGCTAATGACAATGTTTTGACAAGTTGAAATTTAGAGTAGCAATAGATTAATTAACGATTTTCACTGCAATACTAATGATTTCTAAACAAAATGTAGAGAGCGGCAAGCCAGAACACTCTGGTGTTTGCTACTGAAGCTGACTGACAAAAGAGTATTTAGACATCCAGGTGGATGTGTACGTGCATACACAGTTTGTGCTGTAAGCACTTGCCACATAACCGAGTACTTACAATACCATGGCAGAGGCAGAACGAGAGCACCCTGTCATCAAGCCAGATGGCCACCAAGTCCTCATCACAACAGAGCAGCTGATCTGCTTGACAAGATCATCCTCAGCTACCCTCCATCCCATCACAATTATTTCTACAACCAAGTTCACCCAACAGCACTCTGCCCTGGATTCCCACCAGGAATTACAATTCTGCCATTCGCAGTACTCCAAAGCTTGTCCTACCCAGAGCGGTGCAGAACGCTAGTCAGGAAACAGGTCCCTCAGCAAGAAGCAGCGGAGACTGTGGACAAGACCAAGTGGCTTAAAACAAGTGCAGAACTTTATCATCTAGCTACAGAGGTATTAAAGCTGGGCCTATGTAGGTCAGGCAAATTCTTGAAAGGGCCAGTGTTTGGATGCTGAATGAAAAATTTGCATGGAACTGACCTGAATCTTAAGTAGGCACAGCCTAACCCATCTTCCCAGAAGCAAGGCAGCTCGCATCCCATAGAAACAACGTGCAACAGATTTGAGCAGCTTCAGTCGGCACTCCAAGTCCTTAGGTTACGAGGACACCTTTGTCTGTGCCCCAGATTCATACAGCAGTCTCTACACAAGACATCCAGCACCATGAAGACTTTGAGCGCAGGCAAGGCGATGCACACAGCCCTGCACACAGCAGGGCAGCAGGGGTGGCTCTGGGCCCTATTTCTTCTTTCAGTCTGCATAATCATTACTCTTTCTTAAAAAAAAAAATTAAAGCAAACGTGTTTAAAAACACAAGCCAAATAAGAAAACTTCATTTTTAGATGGTGTCAATCTTAACTTTGTTATCTGTGCACTCCGCTTGCAGCACATCCATGGGGGAAAACAAATGCACAAGTAATTATTGTAGGCAAATATGTTAGGTATAGATGTCATGTGCTTGTATGCACTGATTATTGTACAGAAAGCAAAGACTTGTACCTTCCCATGAAGGTTTTTGAAAGAGCAACATATATGTTCTTAGAGGTTCCCACTACAAAGATGCCTTTCTCAGTCTCTAGGTAGAGTATCACATGGTCCATTCAGTTCATGCTTGAGTTTTAAGAAGTACAAGTTTAATCTTTCCAGGACCTGGACGAGTCAAAGGGAAAGGCAACACAATCCCCCTGCAACATCTCAAAGCAAACTCACCGCAGCCTCAGAAGCTACAGCAGCCCTGCAGGGACGGGGCAAACAGCGACCAGAGGCAGGGAGCAGCCCGCTACCCCAGCACAGTGCTCCATGAAGGGGCGACCTATGGCAGCTGCAACACTGGGAGGCCACCCCGCACCTCCCCTGTGCTACCTAGAATTAATAGAGTGCCAGAACTGAATAAAACAGACCCCACAAACACACACCCTACCACCTTCAGTCTGTCACTGATACAGCATCTTCTCTACGTCTCTGGAAGTACCTATGGTACCCCTGAAGCCACAGCACAGCATGCACCTCACAGGAGTTGAGGTGTGCCATCACCACACTTTTAACCTCCTGCAAAATAAGAAAAACAACACAATCAAATCAACATCAGCTCCCATACTGTCTATGGCTGCACAAAGCATATGGCGATGCTGCACACATACACAGCATCCAAGCACTCTGTGTACTATACGTTTCCACCAGACGGTTTCTTCAAGCCGCTAGAATAATAACTCAGCTTTCAGAATGCAAACTGGTGGCGAGCGCGAAGCAGCTTCACACACCTTACGCAGCGGCAGAGAATCACTTCAAGTAGGACTACGAGACCCTAGCTTACAAATGCCTGCTCTGGGAACACAATATGCTCTACGATCCAAGATTGTTTTAAAAGAACAAATTAGCATCCTCCAATGAGCCAGCTTACATGTCTGAAAAGACGCTGGCTTTCAAGAAAACAAATGGAAGCAGGTCCATACGCTGCTTTTTGTAATCAAGTTCAGCAGCAAAGAGTGATCGCTGAAACACAAATCCCTACTTTCCCAGTTCAGCTAACAATGAACAAACTAATTGCGAGCGCTGGCTCAGCAGCTGATACGAGGTGGCAAGAGCAGCCCGCAGGCTCCCCACCAAGCACCGAATGGCCAAGCAGCCTCCAGCAACGGGGCCGGCACCAGCCTGAGGAGAAACAGAGCCCAAAGCAAGGGAAGGAAGCCCAGGAGACTAACTCCTGCCTCCCACTCACCACCCTGCTCAAGCCTTCCCCAAGGCTCCCTTGTGCAGACCAGGTATGCACCTACCCGAGGTGAACCAGTGCATGCTCACCCATTGATTAAACACCAGCTCTCCCAGATAAGAGTTAAAACAATCCCCCACAACGACCACAAGAAGCCACCCACAATGCAAGCTTCCACTCAAAAAGCATCTGTCATCAGCTCTAACGCAATACTACACCGACACACTAATAGCTTTTGTGTAACCATTTCCTAAACAAAAACCTCTGCTAGGAACCCAGCAAACCCTACTGCCATTACGTGTAGTAAGTTCTCCTCCATATGCATAAGGAGTTTCAGAAGACTGACTGTCCTTTAGGAGCTAGTCAGAAGGGAATGGAAGTTCAATTCAAAACTGGTTTCTAGAAATTTTGGATGACAAATGCAGCATCTTTGTGGTATAATAGACACCATTCTTTTGGCATACTAACCTTTTCCACCTCCAGATTTGTACTGGTGAAGCTTTTCACCCTACAGAGCCCAGTCCAAGTTGCACAGCACGTGCACAGGCCTGCAGAGCCCCACTGCTGCCTGAGAACAATGATGCTTGGCCACAAGAAGTCAGACCCAGGGAGCTGAAATTCGCTGCCTGCCTGGCCATAGAGATAGCCTCCTTGCATGGAACCATACAAGCAGTGCAGGTAAGGGTGGCGGGGAAAAAGCAAGAGACAAAGGTTTGAGTGTACCCGTACATCAGGCTGCGAGTCACAGCAGCAAGGCAGCTGCTCAAAAGCTGAGGCAAAAGTACTGAAGGAGGACCTGCCCGGACAGCAGCCACCTCTGTCATCTGAGCTTCCCGTCCCTACAGGGCAGCGTGGCTGCCCACACAGCAGTGTGGTGCGGTGGGATCCAGCTGCCCACCACCTCCCACAGCCAAGCAGTGTGCTGCCAGCACACACACCAGGATTTGGAGGGCTGCAGTGAGCCTCCTCGCTCACACAGCCGCCTCCCAGCCGCTGAGGCGGTGCCAGGAGGCAGCCCACACCAGCACAGTGCTTCAGGACTGCCTCACTGCTCCCGCACCCAGACCCGACACCATCCCACTGACCACACCAAAACAGCGTGTGATGTGCCACTAGGGCAGTTCTGCCATGCTTTTGTTACTTGGTGACACCAGGAGGAGCCCAGCAGCTCGGTGCCCTCACTATGGCTGCAATTAGGGCCTCCATCAGCATGGGCCCAGCCCTCGGGCAGGCCCCACACAGCTCCACAGAGGACAGAATCAAATGGCCACGAGCACCTTGTTGGTACGAACAGCTTCTTCAGGGACCGAAAGGGAAACACAGCTTAACATAAGCCACTCCAACACGAAGCTGGACAAGCATCCAAACCTGCAGACGGCACCTCCACACCCAAAACGTCTCAGTTTCATCCCAGGAACCCGTTAGCCCGTGTCTGAGCAGTCGTATCTGGGTGAGGCTGCTTCACCTCCAGGCAAGCAGAGCGCAGGACAAACAGCCACGGATGATTTTTTGTCTTTGTGGTGGTTTTGCTGTTGCCTGCCCCTCCTGTGAGCAGGGCACCATGGCAGCAAGCAGCTGGCTCTGCTCCGGGCAGCTGGGGCTCTGCCGAGGCACCAACCTGCCTCAACGCAGCCAAAGGGAAATTACAGGCTCCCGAAGCACCTACCTGGGAGTTCTTCAAGGTATGTCCCAGGACTGATGCTAAGGACTGCTGCGAGCACAGAACAGGATAAACCAGAGAGCAGAAGGGGAAATGGGAAAGAATGCAGGGCACATAGCTATGGCAAGATTGTACATGAGTGCTAAGGACACAGACAGGAGTCTAAACTTAAAGGCTCGCCTATTGCAATGGGTAATAAAACTCTTTGAAGCTGATACCAGTAACTTGTGATCAAAACTTCAGATTTTATAGCAATATAAATTGTAACAGCACAGCACAAGAAGCAGTGCGGTCAGAAATACGTCACTTTCTATAACACAAGCATTCTGAGCAATCAAACAGCATGCAGGGTTTTAATGCTGTAAGCCATCTGACGCTGTGATCACTAGGTCAGGCAAGCCTTATCCTTTGTTTCGATACAGGTTTTGATAAACAGCACCTTTAGACCCATGCCCTCAGCTCGAGGGCTGGCTGAAGTCCTTGACAGGCTGGGGAACAGGCTCCAGCAGGAGCAAGGAGCTCTCTGCCGTCACAGGGACAGCCAGGGGCACGCCACGAGGAGCGGGTGCAGCACACGGCGTGATCTGCCCAGAAGCAAGCCACCCACGGGAACCCTGCCCAGGGAGCCAGCTGAGTGCTGGCAGATGCACGGAGACATCAGCTCAGACTCGTAGCTACAGCAAGGCTCCTGATGGCAGCTCGGTGCTACCGGCTGAGGTTTAAGGGAAGAGAAGGAGCTGGTCCACGTGAAGGGGGAAGCACACAAAAGGTTCATCAGGGCAGACTCAGACTTTCAGTTTCCAAGGAGTCAACACAAACCATCTTCACAGTAACAACTACTCCCTCCTGCACCGAATTTCTCAATGAGTAATAGAGGGCACACTCACCACGATCAAGACGCGTGATTTTTCCCAAACTGCAGTCACTGCTGCCAGAAGCACCCGCCCCAGAGTTGCTGCCAGCGAGCCCCCGGGCTGAGCCCCCATACCCACAGCCCCCCAGGCTCCCACACCACGGCCCAGGGCTGCACTTCACCCCCATTAACATGCCCCCCAGAGCAGAGCTCTCCTACTCTGCTTTCAGCCCCATGTTTGAAAAAAGAAACCAAAACCATACAGAGTGCAACTTACATCCTGTTTTTTAAAAAATTATTTCAACACCCGTCTCCACCAGAAGCTTCTGTACAGGGCGCCCCATATGACAAGTATCTGCCTCCCTGCAGCTCTCAGCAGGCTGACAGAAGTCCTAGGAGGAACTCGTCTTCGTTTCCCGCAATGCCCAGCCCAGGCAGTTACCAGACAGCCTGCCTGTTGGCTGGGATCTTATTTTGGGTTGTGTAACGCTATGCAGCCTGCCAGCACGCACACGCACCTACCAGGTCCCCCACCCCCTCTCAAGGCAGCCGGTATTTCTGTGCTCAGGTACCTTCTAATTATCAAGGTGTTGGGCTAGACCTAAGGAGGGCACGGGGAAAGCTGGTGGAAGAATGAGAGGAATGGAGGAGGAGGGCGCGAAGGCAGCGAGGGAGGATTCAGACGCAGCGCCGCAAGTTGAAGATCAAAGAAAGACGACTACTTTAGCAAAAATGCAGGGACAGATGGATACAAACTGTAAAGCTTTGCAATAAGTGTGACGCCCTGTATGCTGCCATCAGACATGGTGTATGAGACGCAAAACCTGTTAAATTAAGAGAAGAAATCCAATCTGTTATGTTGTATATCTGAGTGCTTTACGAGGCCATTACCATGGAATCTGGATGCTTCGCATTCCGTTTTAAATGAACACATCTAATAAAGTGACTCACTCAATGAAGACTCAAAAATAGAAAACTTATAATCATCACCACTACAGTTTGCATAACTTGCTATTTGCACAGTGGCATTGTCTCATGTTTTTCATTTTTCCCAAAAGCTTCTCAGGTGAATTTCAGATGAGAGCTCCGGGCTGAGCTGGGAATCTCGCGCTGCCTCTGCTTCTCCAAACAGCGAGAGACGCTATCCTCAGCTCCTTCTGATGCTGCTTTTGATCCTCCTTGCAGGAGGACTTAAAAGGTAGCCACTGTGATGGAGCGCAGAGCTGCAACAAGCCAGTCAAGCCATAATTAGCACTCTTACTACGGGTAGCTTACAAGTTTAAAGCAGTACTGCTTGGAGTGAGATGCTGACAGTCTGCAGCATGCATCAATGGAGGAATGGCAAAAGAGCACCAAAAAAAGATGGGACCATGTCGTATTAACACTCCCATGATAAGCTCATCCACCAGCTCTCATGTAGCTGCTCTTGTTTGCTTTTAGGAGACCACAGTGGTTAGTACATTACACAGCAAGTCAGACCACGCTAACTGAAGTAAGCGTCTTAGAAGCAAGTAATTAGAGCTTCAATCAGCCAGCAGTGAAGAAGCCTGCCCTGCAGCACTCCGGGCAGCCAGCAGTACCTCTCCCCAGGTTACCCGGGTCCCACCTCCCGGGCCGCCCTGTGCTCTGTTACCTCCCCAGCAGTGACACAAGCAGAACAAAGCAGCACGCTCCGAGAGGCAACCAGAGCTTGTTATCTACCTCACTGGCTGCATGGGCTCTGACACACGTCCTCGTGACTTCTGGACCTAATTCCTGCAAGCCACAGCTATAAACAGAGCCACACACCAAGATAAGCTTCCAGTGGATACATAATGCAGCTGTCACGGAGACAGTACTGAAGATGAGAGCTCCAGATTCCCAGCCTCCAGATCTTCTCCCAAAGCCTCTCATGTAGACTTCAAGTTCTTAAACACAAGTTATGGCACTTTAATTAAAGTAATTACCCCAGAACTGCCTCACCAACCAAGCACAGAAACATAACCCGTGATGTACCAGGACAGCTCGCAGGGCTACCAGCCCCTTTATGCCACAGACCACACAAATTTGTGAATTCCCACACCCAAAACTTAGAAGCCCAAAACTCCCAGAGGCCAGCTTCCACTAATTAGTGGAAGCAAAGCAGCAGTTCAGCATATGGGGAAAGGCCTTCCCACGCGCAAGTAAGGCATCCAGCACGGCTACCATGCCCAGAAGTCGCTGCTTGGCATGTCACGCATAAAAATAAAGGAAAAACAAGGCAAAAATAGTCATACTACCCTCATCCTCCCTTTGGTCCCCACCGCTTCAAACTTCTTGATTTGCTTTTTGTACTTAGGTGACCACGATCTTCCCACCAGGCATTAGATGACACCCCAACTGCTTTAAGCACTATCCTACAAGGAATAAACTTTGACTTCTCGCTCCTGTATTTATACTTTTAGACCTAACCACCTTTTCTCCTGTGTGGAGGGTGTCTCATTGATAAATACTTCTTGGGATTTCTGATAGCGATAATCTTGCCAGAAAAGGCAGCAGGCTTCTGACAAGGAGGTAATACATGCTTGCAGATGACAATTCCAAGCACTGTACCTCACAATTAACAGGAACATTAAGAGACACTGAGGCCATCTGTATTTTGGGCTTCCTCATCACATAAGCGCCACAATATATTTTACAAGTTTTACCAGGGAATTATTTAAATTCCCTCCAGTCCCACTGAAACACCACTTCAAACCCCAACCATGCAGGGAACGAGAAGCCTAGTCTCCATCCTGGTTACTGGCTACATTTACGCAGAATGATTCTCGTACGTTTGTTTGCCGATGTAGTCTTCCAGCTTCAATAGTTCAAAGTAGTCATTCTAGCTCCCCACGAGTGAGGATTTATTCCAGCCATAAGATCCACCACGCACAGACAATGGTAACTCGCACGGACTGTCAGCCAGCTGCTGCCAACAGAACTGCTCTCATTGCAGCCAGTTACTGGAGGGGCGTTCACCCTTCTTTTTGCATATTCCTCAATCACCTCATATTTGATAGAGGTTTGGTCAAACAGCCCACCAATTCAGCTCAATCCCAATACCTACCCATACCTACAGTTCCTTCCTTTCCTCCCCATCTCCCAAATCAGACACTGGAGGAAGCAAGGTTTAGTAAACTGTGGTTTGCTTATTACAAGATCGGGCACAGACCTACATACACAGACAGGTACCTGCTCAAAAATAACTACAAATTAGGTAATTACTTAGGCGTGTCAAGGAAGTAGACTAGTTTTGTACACTGGGCTGAAGACTGAGAAACCCGATAGCACATGCAAACCCAACCCAAGCAGGAGGGGCACGCACTCAGTATCATTTTGAAGTCAGAACTAGCACTTGGTTTGAGAAACACTTTGCCAAGCAGAAGAGTCACAATCCAAGAGTCAGTACCCAGCCAGCAGAGAAACAGCAACTCAGCATCCATCGGCATTTCAATTTATAACTCGGGGTTGGCTCATCTGGCATTTGGAAACCCCCAAGACAGAGTTACAGTCACTGGGGAACCTAGCTCAAACACAGCTACTTAGGGACACAAAACGCTTCTCCTTCTGCACTGCCAAAACCAATAGAACAAATCAATGCTATGATACTGTAAAAGAGTTTTGATTGCAAAGTGTTTGTTAGTTATGTAATACAAAAACGTTCTCTAAAGCAGTGCTTTTTGGAAGCAAGAGTACCAGTACACCTACATTAGCAAGAGCTGCGGCACGGCTGCAGCACAGCCCCACAGCAGAGGGCTGCTGCTGAGAACAGCCTCCACGATACACGTGTGCACACTGCTTGTCAGCAAGCAGCTCCAGTCCAGGCCCATGAACACCCATGAAGCAGTTGAGATACAGGAGACCTTCCTTATTTAAAGGGAGATCTTCCCAGTTTCGTCTGATCTGCTTTTTTTTCAGCCTCTATTCTAATTTTTATTTCATGTTCATCTCCATCCCCAGTCTCAGTCATCTCCCGACTGCTCGGTGCTCTCCAACTTCTGAGCGCACCCAGGGAAGGCGACAAGCCTGCAGGCAGGCAGGTCACGGGCACAGTTACCCACCTTCTGGGGGCAGATCCACGCAGCCCTGCTCCCACCAGCCGGGGCGGCACACCCGCGGTGACACAGCTAATCCCCAGCAGGACAGCAGCAAACTGCAGATGGCAAGCCAGGCAGCATACAGGAGGACTCAACTGAGGTGTACTACGCTGTCAGAGCCCTGTTTTAAATAAAGCACAGCACAGGCCCACGTACTTAAAAAAGGTTAAACAACTCTTAAACCCTGTTTGCCAGCACGTAAACACGCACCACAACAAGGCACCTGACAGAAGCAAGCTGCTGCTTAACAGGGCTAGTCACAAATGAGAGCCCTTGTTTCAGAAACAGAGATATTTACCTGTGAAAGCAGAAAGTAACAGTGAAAACTGGGCATTGTGGGGAAAAACAAACAAACAAACAAAACACATTTATTTTTAACTCCTTCTAAAGTTTGCAGAGAATTGTGAAGGCAAACTAGGGAGCAGAAGGGAACCTATATGGGCTTTCATTTGGCAAACTGGTTTGCGCTGATGGCCTTTGAACCTATCCAGCTTTCTGAACTTCTAATAGGGACAGTTTACCAGGCAGCAATGGATCTCCAGAGAAATTACTATGTTATGTAGTAAGGGCCTAGCTCGTGAAGTTGTTTTTACTCTACTTCTGTGTATGAGTACAATTACACAAAACAATGTGGACATCCATTCTCTTTATGGTTACTGTAGAAGAGGTTACTTAACCAGCAACACTTACTGATCTTGAAATATCAGGCTGAGTCACTACTAGCTGCTTATCAGTCACTGCTCCCCATCCCTAAACATTTCTGAGGAACTGTACCTATAACCCAATGAGCAAAAGGAAAGGCCTGATTAACTTCAGTTAAAAATATACCGTGCTCCTGACAGCTACCTCACCAAGCTTGTTCCTTATCCATGGTTAGGAGATTATCTTACAAAAGGACCTCAGAGTCTTCAGGCTAATGGCAGTGTAATTACACTTGAGCAAGCTTCGCACGCAGGGAGCTCCCTGGCTGGAAATACAGAGCAGCAGTAACGGTTCGCAGAGGGCTCAGCACAGAGGCACACTACAGGTACACAGAATGAAAATAAAACATGCAGAGAAGCACAGCCACAACCTGAGAACCAGCAGATGAGAAACACAAGAGTCCACAGCGGTAACAGATCCACACGCAGACCGCTCCAAGTCTCCCAAGCACAGCAGCCCCAGACTTTGCAGCTGCCCTGCCTTTTTTATCTACCAGTTGGCTGCAAGCAGCAGGCCTGGAGATGTGCTCCTGCGGCCGCTCCTCCCATGAATTCAATACCTTTGCCCCTTGAGAGGGCTCAGCGCAGCGGCAGCTCTCTGAAGTGAGGGCCTCGTACAGCAGTGAGGAAATATTACTAAATGCAGTGAGGAAACATTACTAAGTGCAGCTCGGCGCTGGGCACAGCACAAGGACACAGCGAGTCCAGGGGGGAGAAAAGGGCTCCCACCTCCCGGCAGCAGGCGGAGAGGAGCTTGCTTTTGGAGCATCCTCCCTGCCAGGCCACTGAAAGCACGGTAAGTTCAGCAGGTACCAAGCCTAGACGGTTTTAAAGTCCGGGACGCCACATGCACTCTTGTACCTTTTCCCCGCAGTAATGGCCTTACAAGCGTTTACTGAGGTGACTGATTAGAAGAGATAAGCACTGAGAAGAAGCTCAAGAGTTACTTGCTTCACCAGAGCACTTTCACCCAGCAACGCTCCCATGAAGGTGCCCAATGCGAGGAGCTAACCCTGCCTTCCTCCTCCAAAGCTCGATGTTACCGCAGCCATGCCCATTCTGCACCCAGCACAGCCCTTAGACGCTTCTTTCCCAACAGCAGGCTGCTCCAGCAGGTCGCCCAGAGGCAGACACCCTGGGAGAGGTCCTGCAGACAGGCCGCAGCCCCCACCCCACCCGATGCTCCGCACCGTGCAGCAGCGCCCACCCGGGCTGCGCACACCACGGAGCAGTGTCAGGGAGCTGAGCCCCAGCCGGGGGGCTCCGGGCAGCCCCCCGAGAAGCACCGCCCGCTCTGTAGCCGTGCTCACCCCCCAGCCCTCCCTTCCACCCCAGGGCTCCGTGCAGAGGGCGGGCAGCGCCGCACGGTGCCCGCACCGCCACCGGCCCTGCGGAGCCCCCCGGCCGCCGCCCAGCCCCGCCGCGAAGCCGCCTCCCCCCGCTCCCTTCCCGGCCGTGCCCAGTGCCGGTGCCGGTTCAGGGCTGTCGCTAGGCCCCGGCCCTTACCGCTCGGCCGCCGCCGCTGCGGCTGCTCCCGGAGGCGGGCGCTAAGAGAGCGGCGCGGAGCGGAGCGGAGCAGGGCGGCCTCCCCGCCCCGGGCTATATTGGGCGCGCCCGGGGCCGGGCCGCGGCTGCCCGGATGGCGCCGCTCGGGGCCGCCCTGCCCGGCACGGCCCTGCCCGGCCCGGCACGGCCCCTCAGCCCCTCAGCACGGGGAGCTGCTGGGGGTTCTCCTGGGCCCCGGGTGGGTTCCCAGCTGGGAGCGGGGAGCGGTCCCCGGGCTGTGGCAGGGACACCGCAGTCGGGACCCGGAGGGGTTACAGAGGAATTTGTGGAGTTCTTGCCCAGAACAGCGCTAAACATCAGAGTTCTTCATAAAATAGGTGCTGCATGCGGGTGTGCAGAGCCAGATACACAGTTTGTTATTTTCAGGTTTGTTTCAGGTCACTTTCAGGTCTCTCCAGTGCCCTGAAGCTGGTGCAGGAGCTGCATCTGTGGCTGCCTCGCTGAGCTGCTCCAGCTGCCCGCCTGCTGGAACTGCAGTCCTCACAGACCCCAGTGCCATACTGGTTGTTACTGGGCCTGGCAGCAGCACCGTGTAGCAGTTAACCCCAGCCTTAGCAGATAAGGCAGACTGCCCACCTTCGGGCATGCTGCATCGGGGCACAGGTCACCAAGCCCACCCCCACAGGCGCTGGGGCAGGGGGTCACACTCTCGGTTTGCAGGACACGGTGTGCAGGCTTGTGTGTCCCTGTTGAGGCTTTCCTGAGCTGAAAGCTTCCCGATTCCTTGGCTCTCAAAAATAGCAAATCTCCAATCTTGAACTTCCAGCAATTAAATTAGGCACTTGCCCTGTGAGGCCTGGAAGAGGGTTATGTGACATAGCAGGGGGTGACACCTGGAGACATTCTGAGCATCTTTGTGGTGTTCTCTGCCTTCTGTTTGGCAATAACCAGGGGCGGGCCTGGGAAGAGCACCGGTGACAGGCTGTGGTTGGTGATGGCTCTCTGCTCCTCGTGGTCCCCAGGCTCCTAGGGACACTGCCAGCAAACACGGCTGCGTGGTTTTGGGGACTCACCCGGGGACTCCTGGCTGTTGCTTTTGCAGCAAGAAAGCCAGACACATGATTGATAGTAATACACCAGGATCTTCCTCGCCCTCCAAGACCCATTGCTGAACTTTCGGCTGGGCTTTTCCCAGCAGCTGTACATTGTAGTGCCCTGCAGCTGTGTTTCCACAAGAGTTCGGGATCCCCTTTTCCATGCTAGACCAAAGCACTGGCTGATCCCGTGCCTGTGTCCCCGAACGCCCCTCCGTGGGTCTGTCTTTGTCCAGGCACAGCCTGGCTCAGCTGCCCGACACAGCCGGTGCCACAGACGCAGGGTCCCTGCGTGCCCCGGGCACGGCGCTGCCTGCCTGTCCCTGCTTTCCAGGCACACGGGCACCGGCTGTCTCTAACCGTGCTTCTTGGCTGCCTCCCAGCAAGCGCTTTTATTGCCGTTCTTCCGTGCTCACTGCTTAGTCAACATGCTTTACAGGCAGCATGAGACGTGTTTTCTACCAGGCACAGAAAAACAACCTGCTGCCGCGCTGAGCGGCGGGGCACAGCTCCCTCCCACACGGCCTCCTTGGGGCACGCTCCAGTCACCTGTTGGCCAGCTGAATGTCAGCGACGGGTCCCATCCGAGGAGGCCGCAGGAACCTAATCCCTCCCTCGGGGGTCAGATATAACTGCGTGAGCTAAATTGGACGCTGCAATAATAAATGTATGGCTATCAATTCTCTAGGTGGCATTTAAAGTCAGTAAACAACTGCAAGGGTTGGCTTTCAGAAGTTTTGCAAAGTAAGTGATATTCAGGCTGAAAGTAGTTTTTACACCAGACAAATTAGGAGACTTGGTAGTGCTTTTAAAAGGAAACAAGATCTCCAGTGACAGAGGGAATTAGTGCGCTCCATAGATACCCAGGTTTAGAGTCCATTTCATGGGAACACCTCAATTGAACAGAAGGAACAGAAAATGAAAGAAAAAGCCACGGAAGGTTATGGGGTTATGGATTAATTCTTTTTATTTTCTTTTTCCTTTTTTTTTTTTTTGTTTTCTCTTTTTCTCTCTCTCTCTCTTTTTTTTTTTCTTTCATGTTTCCTTTCCTTTCCTTTCCTTTCCTTTCCTTTCCTTTCCTTTCCTTTCCTTTCCTTTCCTTTCCTTTCCGAGAAAGGAATAAGAATAATTGGGCTAGGAAACAAGTATTTTCACTCCTAAATGTTGTCTGCCTGGATGTAGCTGCCTTGTCAGCATCAATTTATGGTAAATATTGATCAATTCAAAACAAGACAGTGTATGGGTGTAAAATGTGTCTACACCCAGTTTCCAGGTCAGCACATAACACATCCCAGAAATTCTGCATTTCATGAACTCTTCCAAAACAACAAAATCAGAAGGGGGGGTAGAAAATCCTGTGCTGCTTGTCACATAAAAGGGAAATACCAAGAAGCAGTGTAAACTTTTATGAGGATCACATCTCTTTAAGGATGGGTTCTTCAGACACTCCAGACCCAGCTACCAACAAATGAGGGAAGGACGGTTCTTTCCTTCCTTGATTAGGCTTTCCACCAACAGCTGTGATTTTGTCTTGGTTACTGGTTGGTAAAAACGGGTCTTCATAAGTATGAGTAGTGCAAGATTTTTACAAGGCTAAACAAAACCTGAAATGCCTTGATGTATCACAGAATTCATCCCTCTTGGTTTTTATTTAATGTCTGGATCAAAATGTTACCTCCCTGGTCTGCGTGCGTGTGGCTTGGTCCCTGGGACACCTGCCAAGACAAGAATTTTGGATGCCTGCAATCATGTGCCCAGCAGGTGTAAATTGTGTTCAGGGAGAGTTCACCTCTTGTCCTTAACCCCAGAGGCAGTTTCTCTTCATTAGCAAGGGAAGATAGAGAAAGAGATTATCATCATTTCCTGACTGCATGCCAAAGTTATGTATCATAAGAGGAAAATCTGTTCATACATTCACAAATATGTTTTCTCCTAATCTGTCTTTAGGAAAATGTCTTTGTGAGGAGCGAGGGGTAATAATCGTAGAGAAGTTGAAAGAAGTGACAGAAACAGAAACAGAAATGGAATCTCTCAGCTGCGAATTTTTACAGCAGGATGCATGGTAGGTCCCACCCCTGGAAAATAAAAGTACTTAGTCACGGCTGTGATTGAACATTTTACGTGTTCCCAGCTCTGGCTGCTGCTATCGGGTGTCATTCGGAAATACAACTGCATTGCTTCATACCACATGCTCGGTTTACCAGCTGCAGCAGGGCTGTATTGCTGGTGTTTAAATATTCCCCCCCCTACACTCAGCAGATAAAAGGCCCACCGCGTTTCTGTGTGTGTGCCCGTGTTTGTGTGCATGTCTGAAAAGAGAAAGAGGCTCATTTTTCTACTAAAACGGAAGTAATGTGTTATCATCATAATTATGTCTTATTGTTTGCTGTTATATAAAGATAACAAATCAGGGCTGAGTCACAGAAGCAAATGCAAAAATTGCAGTTTTAAAAGAATAAGGTCACGGGTCACATTATTTGTTGCAGAACAAACACAATAATTAATTGGCCTCTCCCTGCAATGGTAGCGCAGGCATCTTAACTACAGGAGAGCCAGGACGTGGTACGAAGCAATGTGCAGGAGTGCAGGCAGAGTGCCAGTATGTTTCTGGGGCTCAAACCTGAGCTAGGTCCAATAGAGAATACTGATTTCATGGGGAGAGAGAGTAAAAACGGGCGATATCTTTAGAAAGCAAGACTCTTTGGGCTATTTAAGTGTATATTTTCTGTTGTTTATAAGGATTTTTATTGTGGTGGAAAATGTGAAAAAAAGCCTTTAAAATGTATCTTCTCTTTACATATGCCAGAGGGAGGGATTATATTCAGAATATGGAATGGAAAAAGCTTTTTGGAATTTGTGCTTTATTATTTTTTTTCTCTGAGACAATGACAGACCAGCACTGCTGATGTGAATACACCCATTTGCTTTTTTATCCAGACATTTTCACTATTGAATTGTTTAGGAAAAAAAAACTTAGAAAACCTGTCCAAAGACATATATGATCACTTTCAAAGCTTTAGCCTAACATTTCAGTAATTAATGAAGAAATACAAGATTGGACTCTCCTGTTCTTTTTCTAATGTCTATTTCTCTAGCACCGCTTGGCTGGTAGCTTTTGTTTGTCAGCATTTACATATTATCTGGGACAAATATTTTCAGGGTGTCCACACAATTGTAAGTGACCTACACAGATCACCAGAAAAAACAAACAAACAAACAAGAAGAAAAAACCCACCAATAGTAGTGTTGGAAAAAGTTGTTTGTATCCACATCTATCTTACCAGCTTGGGTTCTGTGACCTCCTGTAATACAGAACAATTCAGCTGAAAACAAAGGGAGTTGGGAAAATCTGGAAGCTTCCATTTCTCTTCCATTTGAAACACATAAACATTGCTAGATGTAAATGACTTCTGTTCGTGTGTGAAGCTTGTGGGTTTGATATCATGGCTCAGATGTTTTTTAGCACTGCTTTGACTACACTCGCTATCCTCCAGCTTCCCCATAATTTAATATCATACCTTTTATCTACAGAAATATTTTCCCTGCAGATTTTAATAATTAATTGGGACAAGCCTAGTGGGTCTTGAGAGAAACGTAAAAGAGGCAGCAGATACGTGTGACCAAGTGACCTTTTGCTGTCCTACCAGTCCCTGTGCTCTCCCTGCGCTCAAAGGGACACTGTCAAAACTGCTAGTCCTTAGAGCTGTAACCTGCCCTGACAAGTTGTTCTGCATTATAAGTCTTGCCTAAAAGATCACCACAATTCTTTTGTTTGTTTTGTTTGAACAGTCTTTGCTGAAGGCTCTACAATACAGATTCATTTGTCTTTTTAGGTAAGTAGATATATTTAAGTGCCCAACTTACTCCCTGACCTGTTAAAATCAAGTTGATATGCACGTATTGTGCTCAGCAGAGGAGCTGCCAAGGGATGGTATAAATTTTCTGCACTTTGGAAAGAGAGACAAGAGGACACGCTGGAAGCCTTTATTTAAGGAGGCTTTTAGAAACCATTTTGAAAGGCCTGCAGTTATTTACCATTATTTTGGGGCAGTAATAAGTGTTGTCTGGATTTTCCTGGTGCTATTAGGAATTAGGTACTGGTCACTTAAAAGAGGGGTGACCAGGCCATTTCTTCTTACAAAGAGGTATTTTATGTTTCAGGTCAGTCTGAATTATTCCCTAAGAATTATTTCTAACAAGAACTCCATTTAATACAGTGAGACATGAAAAGGTGAATCAGAGCAAATCGTAGAGGTACATTTGTAAGATCTCCCCCCCCCCCCCCTTTTTTTTTTTGCATGCCAATACAGGGATTGATGCAACTGCAATTTAAATGTGGGTGGCTGCAGATCCATAACTGCGTTGTGTGACACGGGAATGTACGGCTATACCAGACGGAGAAGAGGGGATGAACGACGTCCACTTACCATACCCAGGGTAATTTGCAGCCACAGTATTAAGCTTGATTTGAGCTGTTTTACCACTGCATGTCCGTCAATCCTTACCTTATTCCTAATGCAACTGTACCCCTTGAACATGAGCTGTTGGAGGCTATAAGTGCCCCTGAGCTACAGCATCCTCCTTAGAGGTGCACGGCAGGGTCAGCAGCAGCGCCTGGAACCCATCTGCTCTACCTTGCAGCAGCAGAGCCCCGCACGAAGATGCTGTGTCAAGAAGCAGCAAGATCAGAGCCCCCTTAAAGGAGACCTGGAATGGAAGGAAGTGTATTTGTCTCTTTTGGGGGGGACAACAAGGCCTCAGAAAATCATTTTCTTTCTTCCTATAACAAGTTTTGCCTTCCTTGTTTCTGCTGAAGGTTTATAGCATCTCCTTAACCACCTGAAAGATTTTGAGCTAAAATGAAGGGAATGATGGCCTGAGTCTCTGAAAAGATAATCCTCCTCATCTGTTCATCAGGTATTGGTTAGAAATGTATCAAGGTATATTCAAAATAATCTCAACTGAAAGTAGCTCCCTTGATGTTGTACAAAGCTGGATTCTTGATGCCATTCAAGCCATCTACTGAACTTCTAAAATTATGTATGTTTTATGGATGAAAGCTACTGAACACATGTTTTTATGAACTGTTTGTACTTACATTTGTGGTAAGATAGTACTTTCAGTTGATATTCCTGTAATGTTGTGGTAGCCTTACTGAAAACATACCCTTCTGCACTGATTTTGCTGGGAACATTCTACAAGCCTTTGTGCTGATTAAGACAATAAACTCCGAAGGATTCCTTGTCTCATTGGAATAGGATGTAGATAATTAATCAGCTGAACAAATCTCATGAAATATTCACCACTTCTGTGACTCTGGACTGTCATTTTCTAATATTATAGGTCTTGATCCTCTCCATTCAGCAGTCTCCACTATACGGTCATTTTTAAAGGGAAGTTAAGTGTGGGCCTGTGTCATGCTGCTTGAAAAAGGGTTTGCAGAGCATGTTCTGGAGCAACATTCAAGCTCCAGCAAGCCAAACTCGTCCTGATTTACTGAGCTCTCTTCAGCCAATGTCCACAGATGCAAAACATTGTCTAACAGACATGGGAAACAGTTCTCCAAATTACTAACTATGAGAGCAAGAAGTGCTTTCATTTTGACTCTGGGAATGGCGTGTTGTTGATAATCGTGCTAAGTTTGTTACTGTGGTGACTGTCTGTGTGATGATTCTCTAACAAGCAGTAATTCCACAGAAACTCAGCCTCTTCTGTTCACCGCCTTGGTGGGCCAAGGAGATCCATCCCCCTGCCTGACCACCCCCTGTCGGCTCAGCAGAAGTGGAAGGAGGTAAGAGAATAAAAATAGGGGGGAAACCATTTCATCAGCTATTGCTATTTACCTCGGCATGGCTGTCAGATATATTGAAATAGTAAATTAGGGTCTTCTCGGTATGAGTACGTTTCACATCTGCCTAACTTTCGTGTTTTTTTTTTTTTTTTTTTTTTTTTCTGGTTCTGGGAAAACAGTTTTTTAGGGCTGACTGGTGGAATTGTAAGCAAAGGCCTAAATAATAATTAGTACTTGAAGAATTTACTGTGTTGCTTTCTGACAAAGGAAAATAAGTTGAAGCTTAGAGGAAAAGGGAGCTGTGGTGGCCTTGTTACGGGCCTGCATTGGTGCACTGGGTCAGGGGTGACTGAAATACTGGCCCCTGGTATCTGACAGGCTGACAGACAAACTGGTCTCACTTTTGTTTCCAGACTCACTGAGTGTACAAGTTTGGTTCGGGTTCTGCTTTATTCATGCAGAAAAAAGTCCATCCTCTCCACAAAGTGAGCATGCAATTGGAACAGTTAGGTACTAACTGCAGGGTTGATAAACACTGCTCTGCATAGGGAAGTCTCTGTTTTGCTATTGATATATGTTCACACAGGAAATCAGGATGTAATCTGCAGTGTCAAACTGCTATTAATCCAAGAAGAAAATACCTGCAACCTTTCATGAGATGATTGGTGGTAGGAGTTCATCCTCTCGGGAGCATGTGTTTTCACAGAGCTGTTCTCATGCACACACCTTCATGTTTGCCTGGTGCAAAATGTTTAATGTTGCTTTTCCTTGAGTTCTTTGTCTTTTGCGTGGCTGTTCTTGGGAACTTGTCCAAGGCAAACTAAATGCCAACACTGTACATAGTTCACAGTGGAACACGACATCATTACACCACGGTGCAAACCATCTCGTACTGTAACTGGTGGCCTCCTCTGGCAACGTAGGGAACGTAGAGGAACAAACCTGCCCCTCTTGCTGCTTCTGCAGGCTTTTACATGTAAAGCATGCTGGGTTTATTATGCAGATTTATATATTTTTTTTAATCTGTTAGGGGAAAAATGTATACCAGTATGGCTAACTTTCTGGGAGTGTTTTATCGTGGGGATAAGGGCTGGAACTGCTCATGGTAGGGGTGAGGTTAGGGGCAGCAGCAGCAGCAGCAGGGCTGTACCCACGGAGCAGGGTGCGGTAGGACGGAGCCCAGGGGCTGCTCACAGCACGCATTGGTGGTTCAGTGGTAGAATTCTCGCCTGCCACGCGGGAGGCCCGGGTTCGATTCCCGGCCAATGCAACGTAATTTTATTTTTATTTATTTCTTTTCAATTCCGTGTCGCCGCGAGCCGCTCGCTTTTAAAACCCCAGCAGACCCTCAGCCTCGCCGCGCTTCCCGTTACCGGCGGGCAAAAAGCGGAGCCGCGGGGCCGGGTCCGTGCCGTGTTGGAGCGAGTTCGGCCAAAAGAAGCCGCTGGAGATGCCGGGGATTGAACCCGGGACCTCACACATGCGAAGCGCGCGCTCTACCACTGAGCTACATCCCCGGCTGCTCGGCCCCGGCGCCGCGCGCTATGAGAGGGGCGGGGCGGGCCCGCCGCGCGCTGACGGGGCCGGGCCGGGCCCTGAGGCGCCGCCAGCCCCGGGCCCGGTGCCGGGCCCCAGGCCGCGGATCCGGAGCCCCCGCCCGGCCCTGACGGGGCCCGAGCGCCCCCGCTGGCGGCGTCACCACAGCCGCCAGGGCCCCGTCGGTCGAGGCCCGGTGGCCGAGGGGGCTGCTAACACGCAGCGGTGCCGTGTGTTATCGCACGCATCGTGTCAGCACCGCCTCCCGTTACCTCGGGTTTCCCTAACAAGTCTGCGGCCTCTGAGTCGTCAGCTTGAGTGACCAGATAACAGCCTAACGTAAAACGCACCTCTCCTGGGCTTGTTCCTGCCTAAATGTGGACTTGGTGAAAACAGAGCCCTGCTACTAAAAGGAAACAAACAAAAAAGAACCACCCAGGCTCTTCTGGCTGTGCATTCCCAGTAAAACCAGCAACTTCCATTAGGTTTACTGGGAACTGCCCGGTCCCACACGCCTTCCGGATTTGTTTTCAGGATCTGAGCGCTGTCTGTCCCCATAGCAAGCACTATTCTGCCCTCAGTATGCACCCACACTGCGGCACGTAATACCAGAGTGTGTTTAATTTCCAGCACTACGACAAGCTGCCACACGCAGCCGTGGCAGTTTCAGCACTGCCCGCTGAGCACTGCTCCTCCGGTGCCACAGAGTCTGAAATCTGTAACCTCAACAGCCCACATTCTGCCTTGTCTTTTAGCACAGGGCACAGAGTTACAGTGCCTCATCACAGGACTGCATTAAAGGTGCAGAGCAGGTTGACAACACTCCCTGAAATAAAAGCACAAAGCCATTAAAAACTTATTTTTTTTTTCTTCCTTTAATTTAGCCTTTAGAATAGCAGAAAACAAATGTGGTACGAATGCAGGTATTACTGTGTCTTTACGGATGGCTGCTCTGGTGGACAATCAACCCACCTGTGAAACTTCCTCCTTGGGAGGCAGGGCACAGCACAGCACATGCAAGTTGCTGAGAAGAGCAGGTACAGATCCAAAGCATATTAGCAAGCATTTAATTAATATTCCTGTGTTGCCCGTGCAAGAGTTTATGTGCAGCTTGTATTATAGTGAAGCAAAGTCTGTATCGCTGCTAGACCTAAATATCCCATAGACCACCACCTAACAAATAAGGAATAAACTGAGGCATTCAGGCAAGACTCAACACGTGGATCCTACAGGAGGAAATATTTTGCCTTACACTGAACTATACAGTAAATCAAAATGACCCATTTATAGCTATAAATCTCCTCAGTGGTGAACTCAAGCCTACCAACACTGCATGTTCTTAAAACTTCAGAAAGCAGAAATCGAGAGCTGTTGCTGCCGTAGGAGCAATAAAGTTCCCAGTGATACTGCACACGCATTTCATGATCCGGACTGTCCGCACAGCCCTGGTCTTGTCCAGATGTCTGGAGGCAGCCTCTGGTTCCAGGAAACACTTTGTCATCTTGCACGGAGTAGTTTTTAATTCTGCTGTATGCCTCGGCACAAACTCAACATTCAGCTTTCTCAACAGCTCTCTCATAGGACTACATTCACCTCTTTGTGTTTGGGTTTCTATGCTGACATCAGGGAAAAACAATGTCACTCTGTTATCTGGCCGTCCCTCCTCTTGCGTTTCTTAGTGGGATTAACTCATTCCTGGTACCTCACCAACTGTATTTGCGTTTAACGGAGGCCTTCATTGTCCCTGAGGATATGGTTTTCATTGAATCTGATCAGGTTTTTGCATTTTTCGTCAATTCTCATTGAACACACGTTTAAGTTCACTCCCTATTTTCCACAGCAATTTTTCTCCAGGCTGATGGATTCCATGGATCCAGCCTGGAAAGAGCTCAGTTTCAAAGTTACCAACGTACAGACTTCAGAAGAACGATTCCAATAAAGCTGTGAGGGGAAAGGCATTTTTTTCTGATAGGGTTTCCTATGATTGCACTCGTTCCCAGAATTAAATGTTTGCAGTCAAAATTCCTTCTTAAAATAAATACACTAATTCAATACAATACAGAACTAAAACACAGCAGCATAAAACAAATATGCGAAGATAGTTCATGTCATTGATCCCATTCACCCATCCACGTTCATGGCTTCACGCAGTCACAAAGCTGCCTGGCCTGAACAAGATCTCTGGTCTCGGTGTGGGCCATCTTTCTTTATTTTTTGGTGCTGAAGGGCTGCATACTGTCTCTTAGAAGTCTTGACCTATTGCCAGAGCCTGTTTTAATGGCACCAGACATTTCTAAATATGCAGCTAAAGTTATTTTTCTTCTATCATAGACCGTATTGTCCATGTGTTTGTGAGTACCCAGGTGAGTCAGTGCAGACTATTCACAGATCTCTGGCATTATTTATACCTTATTTAGCATTCCTGTCCTCCTTCAAAAAATTTTCCTGTCAGAGATCAGAAAAAAACATAACCAAAGTGACAAATTACAGAGCTTATGAACAACACACTGACTACTTACTTATGAAACATAACCAAACTGTTTTTAAATAATAAATGTGTTAGAAAACCAACCAAACAAAACAACAACAACAAAAACAGGACAGAGTTGTGATTTGCAAAATTAAACAACTCAAAAATTTGCCAACTTTTGTACTTTGCAAATAGTTTTTCCCTGGTCCCATTAGTCAGGGAACACAGTGCTCAGAATAACAATGAGGAAGTTCTGCACATGCGCTACACCGAGTTGGAATGAAGTTACAGTCCTAAGTCCTCCGAATGCAAATCACTTTTTCTCCTGTATTTTCACATCTCTGCTTTTTATTGAGTTAACTCCCTTATTTGATGCGGTGGACCGCCAGAACTGGAGGAGTAAAGCAGGGAAGTGTTTCATTAGTTCCCAGACATGCAATGCGTACTACAGAATCTAAATATTTAGCTGTCTTTTTGTTATTCCCATTCAATAGTGAGAATTATGAAAGTTCGAGTCAAAAAGGAGATAAAAAGGCAGAAAACAGGATTAAAGCTCTGAACTGGGAGATTCATTAGGGTTGCAGACGGATAAGTAAATTATAGCCCTGAAGAAATTATTTGACTGGCAAATTAATTACACAATGTTACAATGGGTTTCTCAGCCAAATTTAGCCCTCAGGAAGCAGGTGGAAGTCTGGATGACTTAATAAAAGGAACCTCAACTGTTCTTCAGCGTAATAAGAGATGAAAATTAACGTTCCAGGATTTGATGCAAATAGGAATGTTGTTGTAAAGCTCAGGAAGACAGACAGAGCATAGCGCAATTATACAGGTTTACACAGACTATAAAGCTGAAGCACCCAGACAGCTGAATGCTGCTGCTTTCTGTACGGGCTTTAATTTACAGTCCTATCTGTGAGGCCAAGACAGAAGCTGATTTGGAAACCAGCATGACATTCTCACAAGGACAGACAGGAAACTTTATATTTGTAAA